ACAGAATTCTAAATTATGCTTCTTTTTTCCATGTTAGGGTATTGGGATGCTAAGGGGTTCTTATAACTTAGATGGGTATGCTTCAAGAAGGTTGGTTTTATTCTGGAAGAATACCCATTTGGTTTTCGACATAGTTTATTTAGTTAAATATATGGTTGCTGGTGAAATGGATTAGCCAAATATTGCATATGTAATATGCCTACAAATTCTTAGTATTGTTGTGAACAGTCAGTTTAAGTGGAGGATTGTTGTATGAAATTTGGTGAACAAATATCTAGAAATTATCTTCACAGTTTCTTAGGTTCCATTTAATTTGGTATTTGTTTTTGTGTGATATATTTCTCTTAGGGCATGTCAAATGGTAAAGCTGCAATTAATGGTGTCTTTTTTGTGTTGCAGTTCCACCAGTACCAGGTTGTTGGGAGAAAGCTCCCTATGGCATCTAATGAGCACCCCAAGATTTACCAAATGAAGCTCTGGGCCACAAATGAGGTTCACGCCAAGTCCAAGTTCTGGAATAATCCTTAGCCTTCCCAAATGTTCATTGATGAATTTTTGGTTAAACTCAGTATTGTTGATTGATTTGTTTGGATTAGGTATTTCATGAGGAAGCTGAAGAAGGTCAAGAAGAGCAATGGCCAAGTGCTTGCCATTAATGAGGTTTGTTCTCTTTGCCGTTTATACTTTATTTTTTTCCAATTAATAAATTTGTACCCATTTTGATTATTTGTTAGTGTCTAATGTAGTCAATGTTTTTTTGGGGTGGGGAAGTGGTTCCTTCTCAACTCTCCTCCTGGCAAAATCCAATTTGTTGCCAAAGGGCTCCACCTTTGACCCCAAAGCGTCACTCTTTTATCACATTTATTTCGCTTTTTTCTAATTTTGTTTCGATAATTTGAATCGTATTTTGTATTTGATGTTTGGCTTTGGTGGCAGATGTGAAGGAGGTTGCGTCATAGGCATCCTCTGGAATATTATGAAAACCTATCAGCATATCCACACCTTCTTTTACACCCGATTTCTCTGCACATTCTTCTCAAAAACTTAAATGCTTTATGCTCCATAGCCTTTGGTAGTTTTCTCTTCTTTCACTTGGTTCCATTTTAAGTTTGAACTTTTTTTTAAAAATATCTTTATTGTAAATTTGTTACTTTAAATCCTTAATTTTAGGATTAGTTGTGGTTTATTTTTATAC